AAGAACAGTCATTTCAGACATGGCAGATTGATGAATCGAAACTGGGGACATTCTGTCTTGTCCTATTCTTAAGTTTCTACCTGAACTTCAGAACTGGGGAAAGTTAATTTTAATAGCCTCTCTTTGTCTCTGAAAATCACTGGCTGGTTTGAAGTCTGCTCCAGAACTCCCTCATATGTGCCAAGGATCAGGACTAGCATGTATCCTTAGTAACAGAAGGAAACAGATTTCAGCAGCTTTTGTAGATTTAGGGACAGTTTAATCTCCCAAAGTCTGAATGTCCTTATACAGGAAGTAGGGATGGTCAGAGTATAGGAAAGTGCAGGCGATGGACAGTTGGTAGGGTATGAGGTGGCTACAGGGCTGCTTGTATTGAGCCCTCTAACCCTCACCTCAGAAAATTTCCTTAGAAATGGAAGTAGTATGTAGCTTGCTGGGGGTTATTGACCATTAACATCCTGTCTGCTGTCTTTGACCATGGACCCTGTGACGTGAAAGGATACCAGCTCATCCACTTCTTCCTTTGTCACTGATGGATTCCTTCTGATTTCTCAATTCCTAAAGCATCTGTATGCATAAAAACTCATTATTTTTTACTGAGTTTTAGTCATATAACCCTCCTTCCTCCTGATCTTGGAATCCAAACCCTCAGATTCACTTCTACATCTCTCCTAGAAGGACAGTTACACCATCCACAAAGGACTGTGTCCATACATTGTCACCTTCACTCAGGGATTTATGTCTCTATTAAAAACTAAGAATGGGGTTCCTCTCGATATAATAATAGCAAATGATATGAAAAATACCTCTACATGAACAGGAGGGTGAGACCCAGAGTGGTACACGCAGTGTGTAATAGACTTCCCTTATCTCTGTAATAGCTGTCTGACAGAAGGTACCAAAGGGAGGAAGGATTATTTTGCCTTATGGTTTCAGGGCATATTGGTCTATGAGGCTAGGAAGGCATGGCTGGCAGCAGGAGTTTAGGGTGTGACTTACCTATTCATATGTCAGGGGGTCAGGATGCTGAGACCTTAAGTTGGATCTGGAACTGGTTTATAGCCATCAAAACTTCATCCTTAGTAGTCCATGACCATCAGTTACGTACACCATCCTATGACCAAAAAGTCCCACAGGGGGCTGGAGAAATGATTCAGCAGTTAAAAGCACTGGAAGTACTGGCTGATCTTGCAGAGGACCCAGGTTTGAATCCCAGCACCTACAGGGCAGCTAACAGCCATCCACAACTCCAGTTCCAGGGGATCCAATGCCCTCTTCTGACCTCCACGGGCATTGCACAACACAGCTGTACTTACATACATGCAGGCAATACACCGATACACATAAAATAGAAATAATAAATAAAATATTTTTTTAAAAAGGTTCCACAGTCTCCCAAAACAGCACCATCAGTCAAGGACCAATTGTTCAAGCACATAAGCTTCTAGGGCACATTTTTCATTCAAATCATAACATATGCTAACATTTATGGGAGGAAATAGCTGGTAAAAGTGAACACACATGTAATAGTAAGATAAGATCTGCTTGGAGTATTAACGGAAGGACACACAAAAATCTGGTCACCATTCTGGTGTTTGGTGAAAGGTGGTTGAGTGATAAGTGTGGGAAAGAGACCTTTTGCAGTAAACTTAGAGAAATAAAAAGAAACAGGAGCACCTTTCTCACTGAACAGCCCTTGTCACTGGTGTGATCTTTTCTCCTCAGAGGAGCATCTCTGTCACTATGGGTGTAAAGTGACTGGGAATGATGGTAGTGCTGTGTTTGTGGGTAGGAGTGGGCCCCTCAGCCCATCACTCCCATCTGTGGTGCTGGTCTGTATTTGGCAGAATTGACACTTGGCCTTGGCATCTTCTTCTCTCCTAGACTTTGGTCAGCCCATGGTCCTTCAGTAGCTGGCCCCATTCTGTGGATGTTGGTCTTCCTTTCTTTGGTCACTCACAGGCAGTTTTCTGCTCCACATACCGACTGGACTAATTGGAAAACTCTGCTCACCTGCTGCAGATGTGTTTGTACAAAGACTGTCTGTTCCTGGGCTGTCATAAGACCTCTTTCCTCCATGGTGGGTAGAATCTTCCCTTGATGCTTTGTCTGATTTGAAGGTAGATTCAGGGAAGCTGAAATTGCTCCATGAAGGCAGTTCCTGAGCCTGTGAGTGTTCATCACAAAACAAGATGGACTCTGTATGTGAGCTCCCAGGGTCATCCTGCTGTAGATCCTGACTGGAAGGGCAAAATGTCTCTACCAAAAAGTTATCAGGGCATTTCAGGAACTTACGTATGAAGTCAAACTTCTCAGCCTTGCATTTGGTGTTTTGAGGTAGCACCCTGTTGTGTGACATTCTTCCTGGGGAAATGAGAATGTCTCCTCATCCCAGGTAGGAAACAATGACAGACCAAAGTGAGGATACCAAGGTCCAGCCTACTGAATCAATGAGCTTACTGGGGTTGCTTATGGGAGTATGGATAAGGTGTTATTTAAGGGAGTAGGAATGACTCAGAGACAACTGCATCACTAAAACCTACCCCCGTTTCACAAAAGCAGGAAACCTGGAGTTCACTGCCTAGCCTACAGTCAGCTCAACCGGTTAGGGAGTGTCTTTTCCAGGCAGCTCAGTTGGTCTGGACTTCTTTCAGACTCCTGTGCTGGTTGGCTCACCCAGTTGTCTCAGTGGGACTGAGCCTCTTTGAGGGAGCTCAGCTTGATAGAGAACATCTCTCAGAAGTCCTTAGGGTTTATATGTTCTTGGGGAGAGTGGGAAAATGAATCTGGTCAGTTTCAGGAACTTTCTGCCACTTTTGAGTTGTTTACTTGCTGAGTTTAATTTGCTTCTCTGTAGGATGACTGTTCACATCCTGTTGTTCACCTCTCTTTAGAACACCATGTTGTTCTCGTCCTTGTAGAACACACCCTGTCTTAAGGAGCTTCCCTCCAAGATGGAAGGTTTTATCTCAGGAAATTGTTGCACAGCAAACTCCTGCTGTGATGCCCTCCTGTGTATCACAGTATGCTTAGAGATATCCTTGGCCTCCACCCATCACATGCCAGTAGTGACCCCCCATTGTAACAGCCAAAACTGTCTCCAGAAGGTAGATGTCCCCAGGAGGACATACCAGCCCTAGTTGAGAGTGCATGCTCTGAGATCCTTGTGGAGTATTGAGCCTGTCTTTGTGCACACTACTGTCTACACTTCTATCACCAGAAACATGGTGGCCAGACTGTGGTTCCCACACACTAAGCTGCTCGTTACCTCCCCAAACCCTTGTGGCTGCTGGGCATTCTGCAGGTTGACTCAGTTCTGACACCATCCATCCAGAGTTAGCATCAGACCTCACAGGTTAAGGGTTCAATTGTCCAAACTGCCCCACTTCAGACACCAGCTGCAAGTCCTGGCCCTTGGCATTAGTGACTGACCATCTGTAAATAATAAGAATTCTCACAACCCCCTCTCAGTGTGGTTCACAGGTCTCAGGGAAAGACTTTTTTGTGTTTACCAGTTTATCATAAAGGTTACAAGACATTGGGATGGACAGGTGGACCAAGGGCGGAATGAGGTAACATGGTATCCAGTGCTGCCTCTACCCCTACCTCCAAGATAAGCTCCATGAAGGCAGCGTCTGATTCTGCTCACTTTGGTGAGCACAGGTTGATGAGATGGAGTGCCATCACTTACCATTTGAAGATTTGTTTTTATTACCCTGGAGCCTGGGGGCCTGAGCATGTGCTAATGGTGCCTGCCTCTCTTCTGCTGCTGTTTCGGTGTAAGTGGATTTGAGCTATGGAAGAAGAGGGTACTTTGTGGGGGCTCAGGCCATGCTGCCCTGCTTTTGTGGCTTGCCTCTCCCTCCTGTAATGGTGACCTCACAACTATGGAGTGTACTGTGATCTTAATATTGAGCATGGTCCCAGTACTGTGAATTGTTACCACTATTTGCAACGTTGTCTTCACCCCAAAAGGAATCCCTACTCAGGTTAAGCAGTCTTCCACATACTTCCCCTGTATCCCTGTTCAACTCCTAATGTACTTTCTGTGCCTGTGGATTTGCTTGTTCTGTTTCATATGAAAAGTATCATATAGTGTATGTTCTTTTCTGGCCGACATAATTTGCTTAGGATGATGTCTTTAGGGTTCTTCTGTGTTGGCGTCATTTCTTTTAAAGTCTCTCTCTCTCTCTCTCTCTCTCTCCCATTCATGATGCTTGAATTGTTGCTCCCTGGTTGTCATAAAGAGTGCAGCTATTCCCATGTATGTACACACATCCATTCAAATATCTGTTTCTGTCACTGGGGGCATATACCCAGGAGTACATGGGAATTTTGTTTAGTATGTTAAGCTACTTCTAAACTTCACACAGTGATGGACCACTTTAAATCTCCAATAGTAATGCTCTTCTAAACATGTTCGCCAATATTTACATTCTATTTTTTTTTAAAAAAACTGTTATTATAGCCATCTAAGTGGGTGTGAGTGAGTGACAGCTCATTGTTTGGCTGACTGGTTGGGTTTCCTTAATGAGTAATGAGCTGAATGTCTCTTCATGTGCTTGCTGGGCTTTCATATAGCTCCCCTTGCTGTACACTACAATTGTATGTGAATACTTTCCTCAGATTATAAACTGCCTTGTTTATAAATTGGATGAATAGACTCTGATGATTTGGGGGAAACAAATGCATTGCTCAAATGTTTGTTAACATAATCTTTGAAATAGTCTATTTTTTCCTTTTCCTAACCCTAACCCTAACCCTAGGCACGTTTTCTAAAGTGGCACATTTAATTGCTTTAAATTTTTTCACATTTTATCATTTCTTAAGTCCAGCCCTTCAATGTATGAGTTTTTTAGCTTTAAACATATTTTAAAGTTAGAAGATTTCCTAGATGTAGTAGTAGAGTATATATGATCAAGTATCTGACTTTAACCACTTTAGAGAAACCAAGTGATTGTTGAAAGCAATTTTCAGTACAGTATGTATTTCCTTTTCAGAAAAAGCTGCCTTTGACAACACTGGCTCAGTGCTTGATGGAGGGGTCAGCAATCCTGGGAGATGACACACTTCTTGGGTAAGGTGACACCATGGGTATGTTTGTGCCAAATATAGGTAAGTCCCCATCTGTAAAAGGGGGACTAAGGCTCCTCAGGGAACATCAAGTTCATCTGAATTCTAGGTGGGGAAGGAGAATGTGTTACCCATGAAGGCTCAAAATCATCAATGGAAGCCCTATTGCCTGTACAGTGGGGTGAGTCCCCTGGGGAAGATAACTTAAAACTGAAGGATGCAAAATCCCCTGGGCTTTGGTAGAGCCAGTAGATAACCATCATCAGGTGTCAGAGCTTATGGGATTCCCAGAAGGGCAAGCCAGACTGATTTGGAGCTGACTAAAAACAGTCTTCCTGAAATCACCAGCAGATGCTTATAATCAGCGGCCAAGTCAGTGCTCTGAGAAGCAGGAATAATAGGACACCACAGAAGATAATAACCAAAGTGAAATTGCATAATGAATTAAAGACAAAATCCCTCACGAAGGAAATTAAATAATGGGAGAAAAGAACGAATAAAAACCAAATGGAATGTCTTAAAACTGAAATTATGCTGCTGATAGAACTTAACTGAAATGAACTAGGGATTGTGCACACATGGGAAGCTGGTGGAACTGGAAACAGGAAGGTGCCAGCCAGCATGAACACAAGGAGCTATAAGCAGTGGGCTGTAGACATTGCCACACTGGGAGGCACTGGGGGCACAGCACAGGTGTACCATCTGTCTGGGAGTTCCAGAGGAAGAAAATAGGCAGAAGGGGAAGTTTGTAGTTGACCATTTTCATCAGAAGATGGAAAGAAAAATTTGTCTTGAAATTTAAGGAGTATAGAAGTTTTTTTTATTTTGAAAGCTGGGTGTGGTAGCTCATGCCTTTAGTCCTAGCACTCGGGAGGCAGAGGCAAGTGGATCTCTGTGAGATCGAGGCCAGCCTGGTCTACATAGGTCAGCTGAGGCTATATGGAGACCCTGTCTCAAAAAAACAAAATCAAACAAACAAATAAACAAAAAACCTTTGAAATACAGAAAGCAATTTACTTCACCCTGGACTTATTATAGTAAAACTATAAATTAAGAAAAGACAAAGTCAACCATAGAAAAAAGATGATTGCCTATAACAGAACAGTCAAACTGATAACAGGGTTTATGAGCCAAAACAAATGCCAGGGAATCGGGGATGAAATCAAATAAAGGTTTTTAAGCAAAGATTTAGCACTTGTTGAATAAATGTGAAGCTACAGTTTGTGTATGAAATAGACTAGTTAAGGTTTTATGAGATGGATATGTCCAGAGGGAATTTGGGAAATGTGAGTAGCAAGGTTACAGCTTAAAAGCTACTGTGTTTTAAGGAAGGAACAAGTTTCTTTTCCCTTTAGACACTAGTCATCTTAGGTTCCTTGGCCAGGGCTCTCCAAATAAGATCAGCAGATGACAGCTTGCCAAGAGAAAGGCAGACAGATCTTACCAGCATGTGCAGGACATACACGTGCGGTAGTACACTGATGATTAACGAGTGGTGAGACCGTGGGCTTCAGTAGCATCCTGGCAAAAGCACAGCAGTTTGAGGCCAAGTGACAAGATGAAGGGAAAGGCGTTTCTGGGTGGCAGATTGTGGGCAGGTACAGATGTGGGCGCTAACAGAAGACAGGACTAGTTGGTGAAAACTGCCTATGGGTTCCATTGGCTGTCTTAGAACTGGTGGGACAGGAGAGGTCTTCAGTGATTACCTTCTGCTCTTCCAGGTAAAAAGGGGAAGGAACATGTTTGTAGATTGATTTCCTGCTTTTAGGCAGTAAGGATGGCAGAAAGGCCCACTTTTGATCTGTTTCTTATGTTATTTCACCTAAAAATAATCATTATGCTCAAGTGGCATAGTTTGGGTGGCATATTCTATCTTTCAGTGTAAACAAAATAAAAAATAACTGCAGTGTAAGAATGATTAATTTTTGGATAATAAGCCAAGTAAAACTAAAATACTAGATAGTAATAACATGAAACAATGGGTCGACAGCCATTGTTTCCAGCTCTTGTATCATTTGAAAGGAAGGAAAGATATATTTAAATTTTTAGTCAAGTTTGTAGTTTTTTAGGCAAGTGAGAACAACTCCAAAAAGAGTAGGAAGCCAGGTATGGTGGCTTATAGCTGTAATCCCAGCTCTCAGGAGAGATAGGAGGATTGATGTAAATTGGAGGACAGCCTGAGCTACATACTGAGTTTCAGGCTAGCCTGGGCCACAGTGTGAGACCCTGTATAAAAAAAGATCTGTGATGTCTTCAAAGGAATCACTGGTGCATGTGTGCAAAAAGGCAGAAAAAAAAAAAACAGAAGAAAACCAGGAACAGAATGGGCAATGTATACCTGTCAAACTTGTAGAAAGAGCGAAAAAGAAATAAACATAAAGATGGGCCCGAAAGAGAAAACTATCAACAGAAGAAGTCTGGTGACTAGGAAACTGTGCCTGCAGGTGTTGTGGTTAGGGTGTGAAACCTCTGCAGAGGCTGGAGTGTTTGAACACTTGTTCAAACAGCCTCTGGAGCTGTTTTGGGAGGTGGTGGAACCTTTGAGATGTGGGGCCTGACTGAAGGAAGAGGATCTCTCCTGGCCAGCCTGAGGTGTATAGCCTGCCCACTCCCTCTCTGGCCTCTGTTTGCTGGTGTGCTGAGATTACGAGCAAGCAGCTTCTGCTGCTGCTGCCACAGAGCCGCCTGCTGCCCTGCTTTCCCCACATGGAAAGGACTGTACCCTTCCCAATAGTAAACCACAATAAACCCTTCCTCCCTTAAGCTTCCTGTGAAGACTTTGATGAAAGCAGTGAGAACAGTCACTAATTCAGATGGTGGTGGCACTCCTTGCATACGTGTCAGCAGTCATCACAGATGAGAACGCAGTCAATGAACTACTTAAAATTCAGAGCGTCTCAGGCATATAAACAGGAAACCTTGTATGTATCAAGAGATATGTAGGAACCACAGTGGTACAGTAAGGGTGTTATAGACTGACTGAATACCCTTCAGATCTGCTCCCTTCCAGAATCCATTAAAGCCTTCACACAGGCAGTTTTTATTTTCCTTAAAAGACATAAATGTGGCCAGGTACGGTACACACCTTTAGTCCCAGCACTTGGGAGGCAGAGGCAGGCATATCTCTGTGAGTTCAAGGCCAGCCTGTTCTACATAGTGAGTTCCATGCCAGGTGGGGCTATGGAGAGACCCTGTCTCAAAAGGACAAAAAAAAAAAAAAAAAAAAAAAAAAAAAAAAGACAAATGCTCAATGACAGCAAAAACAAGAAAAAAAAAAAGCAGCATTGTTGTAGAGTGCCTGCCTAGCATGCATGAGGCCTCTAGCTTCATCCCCAGTGCAACAACAAAAGAATAGGTACATCCCAGTAAACTGACCCCCAAGTGAGAGAAGTATACAAGTTCCAGCATAATATACAGCAAGAAATTCTGTGTTCAGGAGTGATGGCACAAGGGACTCTATGAACATGGGTTTTTGTGGCAGAGTAGGTGATTAAAATAAAGACTGTATGGTGCGGCCCCTCCTACTTCATCAGGGCTAGACCTCTCTGCCCTACAGTAGGGGCCCAGACCTAAGAAGACTGCCTGAGAGTGCCTGTATCTGGCCTCTGCCTAGTGGTGAGCTTCCCTAAGTCACATCATGCCAACCCCCTAATTGGGATTACATGAGGCCCCTCCCACTTCACCAGGGCTAGAACTTTGCCCTACAGTAGGGGCTAAGACCTTAGCAGACCACCTGAGAGTGCCAAAATTGAGCCTTTCCTTAATGAACTTCCCAATTGTGCTGTGAGTGTCCACTAGTAGGGGTCCAGATGTTAGAAGGAAACCTGACTTGGGAGCCTGACTTGGGCCTCTGTGGGAGATCCTAAGTAGCTAATCTGAAGTCATTAGATCCCTCCAATATAAACTCTGAGAGAATGTGAAACCTAGACCAACTAGCTTTACATACCCAATAAGAAAACAACCAAGGCATACCAGTAATACAAACAGAAGCAGACTTCAACTCAACAAAGGAAGGCTTGAGTTTCATACTAGACTCACAAACAGCAAAAGAAATCCACATGCCAAAATCACAACAGAAAAATAATAATATGAAAACCAAAACAGTATGTTCCACCAAACTTTACCCGTCCTATAGACCTCTACAAGGAGAACTCCCTGGAGATAACTTAGGACAGAATTTAAAAGAACAATCATAAACATGATCAAGGAATTCAATTTAAAGAATGTACAAACAGCCGGGTGACTTTGGAGGTTGGCTCAGCCTGTTTGTAGAGGCTGCTCAGGGCGTGGTCCTAGGTTCCTTTGGGTGAATCTTTGGAAGTAGGCCCCTCCTGCAGACATGATCTTCCATATCTTTGGTCAGGCTAAGAAGCATCCAAGCTTGATTCCCCTCTTTGTGTTTATTGGAGCAGGAGGCACTAGAGCAGCACTGTATGTGCTCCATCTGCCAATCTTCAATCCAGATGTCAGTTGGGACAGGGAGAATAACCCAGAGTCTTGGAATAAACTGGGTCCCAATGAGCAGTATAAGTTCTACTCAGTGAATGTGGACTACAGCAAACTGAAGAAAGAAGGTCCTGACTTGTGAGTCACATATTTCATGATAAAGCTGCTTATAATGAAGGTCTTTCAGAAGCCATCTGCACAATTTTCCACTTAATCAGGAAATATTCTCTTAAATGCATGACTCATGTTGATTACTTGGAGTTTATTACACTGATCAATGAATCTCTGAAACTTGGAAAAAAAAGAAACATAAACAAATCAAAGAACTAAAAGAAGATAGGGTTAAACTTCTGACTGAATTCACAAAAGAGAAGTATTGAAGAAAACAGACTGAAATGAGAAAGGAAATGAAAAACTCAATAAGCCATTTTGAAACAACAGGTGAAAGCTGCACCAATGGAATGAATGAAATGAATGAATGAAATGGAAAACAGAATATCAACACTGGAGGATAAAGTTGAAGAATTGGACAGTTCAAGCAAACATGAAAAGTTTAAA